TTTATCCAAACAATCAGATGTATGTTAAGGTGTTCTATGACACGATCTCTGAAGCTAGGAATTTATTGTGAGTATCTAGCTTAGGCGTTCAAGATCGTGAGAAGTGGATGATGATTCCTAATATGTGTTACTTTATTACTTCTAGATATAGTGTGATATTGGTCTCATTGTCCAGTAACCTTAACATAACTTTCTTCCCACTTGTGGTATCTCCATTTGTGTTTGTGAATAGACATAAGCTTATTGCAGTTCATTTTGTTTACAACGGTCATTGAGTTCAAGTAAAGCTGAAACCCAATTGTCCTGCCATTGCCTCCGTCATTAACCGTTGGAGACAAAAATATAGCGAAGGTGTAAGAGCATGAGAAACAACATACACAGAACGTATAAGGAAATGACAAGAAGAAGTTAGGAAGTTAAGATAATTTATTTTATATTGATATTATCTAATCATTGCGATTATATGTATATATTTTGTCGGGTTGTTATTGTACCAACACTTTTGAATGTTAATTTGTGTTATGAAAGTTTTGTTTATGATAAGTGATATTAAGATTTGTAAATGTGTGTTATTGATGTATTATTGTTATGTTAATAATGTCAAAAAAGCTTTGTTAAAAAACCTTTAAAAAATTAAAATCTCTATTGCTTACCTGATTATTTAAAATCTCAATCTACAAATGCTAGATTTTTAATCTATCTAATATCTCATGTTACTTACTAGATTTTTTAAATGTTGATTTTTAAAAAATTGGAATAATTTATTCAAAACAATTGGTTAAAACCGTATTTTTCCAAAAAAAATCCAATAATTTTCATGAAATTTTCAAAAGTTCAAGAAAAAAAAAATATTTAAAACATTTAGGTTAAACCAGATTTTCTCAAAAAAAAATTGGTAAGCACTCGTGATTTTAAAAAAAAATCGATAAATATCATAAAATTTTGATAAAAATTTATACATATTTCTATAATATAAAGACTTTTAAAAAAAATCCTATATAGCCATTCAAATATTCGGTATATCACAAAAATTCTTCAAAAATTCAAAAGTTTTAATTTTGTTTGTTTAGGGACAATTTGGTAATAACGTACATAAAGAGGGAGTGTCATGTTTAAAAAAAAGAGTGTCAGGACAAAAACACTTCTAGCTACTGTCAAATTCTTTTTTGGCAAGTTCATGCTTGGAACAGGTTGGGATGGAGGTTTGACTCATAAATTTTTATAATTTTTAAATTAAAAAAATCATATATGTAATGATAAGTTAATTGATAATGGAATAAAAAAAGGTAACTAAGTGTCATTATGTTTTTTTTTATAAAAAAATCAATTATCTTAAAAATTAAATCTATTGATTTATGAGACACTATATTGTTATATATTGTTATATATGAATCTTTGGATTTTTTTATAAAAGATTCACTAGCTCTGGTGTTAAGAAACTAAAAGTGTCAAAGAAAAATGATATAAAATCATATTGATTAATTGATCACATTTTTTATATTTGACTACTTTATTTAAAGTGATTTTGAGGATTATCTTTTCCTCAGTAAAACTCTTATAACTATTGTCAAATTCTTTTTGGGTAGGCTCATGCTTGGGACAAGTGTTCAACTCACAGACTTTTAAGATTTCTTATATTAATCGATAATGGAACAAAAAAAAAAGCAACAAGTGTTGTATCCTTTATTTTGGATGAAAAAATCAATTAAGTTAAAAAATAGATTCATTGATTTAGGAGATACAACCTTTCTATTATGAGTGAGAATAGATCCGACCAACTAACAGAGACCTACGACCTAGTCTACATAGACTTAGAGTAGGCCATACTTTTTTTCGAATAGAAAATGCCTAGGTTTTTTTATTTAGTTAAAAAGGTTAGGCCAAATACCATAAAAAAAGTCTTTTAAACCTATCAGACCGGTCTATTTAAATAAATATGAATAATTATATTATTATTATATTGTATTTGTATTTTGAATTAAAATAAAAAGTAAAGTTTAGTTATTTTGAAGAATTTATGAAAATAAGTTTTAAAAAATCCCATGAACAATGTCATAAGTTGTTTTTATAAGCTCTCTCAAACAAATAGTATCACAAAACTTATGTTAATATGTAAACTTGAATAAGTCAATGCAAATAAGCATTTAGTCTCATTGATCTTTTAACTTGTTAGTCTATTTAAACATTAATGTAACTGTTTTTTACAAATGATCAAATACAATAAATTTTTATGTAGGCTAATTGGTCAAACAAACATTTGAAAAGACCACATTAGCCTAAAAACAAGCCTACGATAGGTCATAGGGCAGACTTAGGCTTTAAAATTATTAGCAGACCACGCTTACACTACAAGAAACATTGTGTTTTCTCAAATGATTTTCACGTCAATTATGGGCCCTATATATGGCGCTTGTTTGACACTATATATGGAGCAATTTTTATTCATTTCCCACTAAATATTGTAGATAACCGAAGCAATAAACTATAGGAGATTGTATAATAGCTCCTTCACCAGGTAGAAAAGTTAGTATATTAATCTCTTCACACTTGGAATTCCAAGTGGTGAACCGAACCATATCGGAATTGCATACCAACCGGCTTTAACAATGTGATATAGATTTTCTGTTCTCTTGTTGCAATCTTGGACAAAAGAGAGAATATTGAATTGCTCAATTACACAAGTTAAAATGAATTTCATTAATCTGTTCTACCTTGTAGAAATAAAAATAAAAATTTGTCTCTTGTTTTTTTCTTCTTTTAAGATTATAAAATTCTTTGTATTAAATACTATTTACATGATAATCAATTGCAAATGACAGTAAACTGGAATGTTAAGAATAAAAAATGTGATTAGTGTGGATAATAGTCTTATATTAGATAGGAATGTGGTGATTTGAATATTTAAGTGGAAGAACCTAGACATCTATCACTTTAAAGTTTTGGATAAGTATATAGTGTGACTCTCACAAAGATTTTGTTCTAAAAAAGAAAGTCTCACAATGTTCAATACTCTTTAGTGAAAATCTCTCCTAACATCTCTAACTTCTTATAAATGATAAAATTAATCTTTTTAAAAGTCATGTTTGAGAAACACCGTTATTATGGATGAACTTTTAAATTATTTGTAAAAGATTCACTAAATTTGATAGTAAGTTAAAAGTATCAATTGCAAATTATATAAAAGTATGTTGGTTATCGAAAATGTTTTTTGGTATTGGCTACTTTACTTGAATGTCCCAATATAAAACTTTTAATCTTTAGTTTTACATAGGAGTGGCAAAACGAGTCGGATCCGTCAGATCGGCTCGTTTGACCCACCATTTTTTGCGGGTTGGACTGAGGTTTTCTGCTCGGTATTTTAAGTTGGCTCGCACCGCCTAATTCGTTTGAAAAAACGGGGCGAGACGGGTTTGTCCACGAAATTTTTTGTTAAAACTTTTTATTTTTTTATTTAGAATTAAAAACAACTTTAATTATAAAAACAATATTCTTCTCTTAGGTTTATGTTGATTGAATTGTATTATAAATTATTATATAAAATAAATTATAATTGCAACGTTCTTTCTATAACTTTCTAATATATGTGTTGATTGGAAAAACTTAAAATAAAAGAATAATTGTATGTCATGCTGAATTATTAAGTTGTCAAACATTAACTCACATGTTTTCTTTAAAAATAGATGTTGATTTTAAGAAAAGGAAGAATTTGATTAGTGTATACGTGTGACAAATTAAACTTTGCAAAGCCTAGTCCGCCCCAGCCTATTTCCACCCCTATTTGCTATGCATGAACCTTTGGATTCTCTATAAAAGATTCACTATCTCTGATGCTAAGAACCTAAAAGTGTCAAAAAAAAATGGTATGAAAACATGTTGATTAACATCAAATATTTACATCATATAAAAAGTATACTATTAATATCATATAGAGGCGGAAAAAGATTTAAATTCAATTTGTTACATAGAAAACAAACATTGTTAATGGTGAAGAACTGCATAAAATCTGTATGTGAATTTGTAAAACACCTTGCAGCTCTAGACCACACAAGCAAAGCATATTTTTGCACTGCTATCAAAAATTTGAAGTATGGACAAAAATTTTGGTATTTCAAAATTTTTTTAATTTTTGAAAGTTTTATTTTTAGTTTTTCAATAATTTCTAATATGAGTTTAGGATTTTTTTAAAGAAAATATCGGAATTTTTTAAATTTCAGATATTTCTTCATCAAAAATTTATAAAATTCGGTAAAAATGTGAGATTTTTAAAAAATGCAAATAAATGCATATCGAAAATTTCGTATATATTATAAGAAATTTCATTTTTGAGATGTTAGTAAAAGTGAAGTTTTCTTTTTAAAAGAAAAAGTAAATTTTGATTGGAAAGAAATAGTAGACATTTTAGAAATTATGAAAATAGGAAGTATCAAATTCAACTGGAGGTGGCAAGTTAAATCCTTTAATATTTGCCCTGTTCTATATTATAACCCAAAAACACTAGCCCATTTATGTTGTATAGCCCAAATAACACTTATTGTTATCAGCAATGAAGATAAAGGTATTCAAATAACTTTTTTATTTTTATTTTTATATATTACAATTTACAACAACAACTAAAATGACCAACAATTAATTAAGTGATATAGCTCAAGTAGACACTAAATTCCAATTAAAAACGAATAGTTTAAAATAACCTGAATTCAAATCCTGGCATAAATAATCCTTAGCACCAACAAGTAAATATTCACCACTTTGGCAATTTAATATTTATCCTATTCAATATTTAATTACCAAAGTCATAATTAGAGTGACCATCAAATAAATATTTAGAACACCAATTAGAATTACAAAGAAGTTAAAGTAAAACCATTTTATTTATTTGCCAAAGTGGCAAAACACTGTGGGAACAAGACAACATTGCAATATACAACACCATTGTGTTTCATCCAACCCAATAATAAAACCACACACACACATTAATTATTTTATATCAAGATACTTGCTTATAAATCAATGGATACCATCATTGGATTGTCACCTTTATCAAGCACAAATGTCTTAGAAATTTTCTTTGATGGTGTCACAATTTCCACATTATATGTTCCATAAAACCCTCTAAAGTTGAATTGACCTTGCTCATCAACATGGCCATGACTATGAGATAGCCACTCTTGTTTCAAAGCTAGAAACCTTTTACCAGCTTCATTAATATCACCTTCTGCATTCACCAAATGTGCATTGTCTCTACTCATAAACAACTCCCAAAATCCCCACAACATTATCCCTTCAACAGCAGGGTGAGCCAAAGCTTCTCTGAGCATAACTTCAAGATCATCACCTCTCACAAATTCATTTGTAGAAGACACGTCAAGTTCAGTAAACCATATCGGCAATCCAAGAATACCTAATTTATCGAGTGAAGCGCAAACGATAGGCCCAATCGGGTTATCAATATGACCTTGAATTCCAATTCCGCCAACGGGTGCACCTTGTTCTTGCAAATCAAGAATGTGTTGGATGTACTTATCAGGACACGATTTTGTGTCGCATCCGTCTTCAATATGATAATCATTCACAAACAATGTAGCTGATGAATCGAGTTGGTTTGCAGTTTTGAACATGTTTGCCCTTATATCTTTACCCAATCTATCTTGGTAAAATGAACCATGCAGCATTTCATTGTTAACATCATAGTGACTGAACTTACCCTTGTAACGAGTTAAAAGACTGGTTAAACGGTTTTGAACTGCCGTCATCAAATCGTTTTTATTCAGCGACCTAATCCATTGTTGAACGGTTTGTTCCACTTCCCAGAAGATGCAGTGTCCACGAGTTTCTATATTGTACTTTTGACACAAGCTTAAAAGATCATCAGCATCTTTGTAATTTAAATTCCCTTGTTGTGCCTCAGTCCAATACCACTTCAACTCATTTGCAAACACAGCCCAGTTGAAGTGTTTCACAAGGAAGTTGACAAAATCTTCATTGTCTATGTTTGATCTGCTGATACATGTTCCAATCGGGAAATCATTTCGTGTTTGCCTAACTTGCACCGTGGTGTTAACATAGCTGCTGGCGTCTAGCCCAGAGAATTTTAGGACAACATCACGTTTCCGGATCTGCAGTTTGGGGGAATAGATATTAATAATAATGGAAATTTATTATATAAAAATAGAATAGAAACTAGATGTCACCTTGTCTGTCTGCATCTTTAAATATCTAAACCTTGCTCGTCTATCGACGGCGAAAATTTGAAGTCCAGCAACCATTAAGTCTACCCCAGAAGCAGGACCTTGGATATAAACCATAAGCTTTGATGGTTGCTTTTCAATTCTAAAGGATCCACCAATTTCATGCCACTGCTTATCTGAAACCTCGGTTTGTCCTCCATTGATCCACTCGTTGTCAGCACCAAGGGCAACATTCACATTTTGCGGTCCACTTGAACCAGAACCAATCCGGACCCAAGCAGATACTTGGTAAGTCAAAAATAGCTTCACTTTATCAGTGATCACCTGGGCAGGACCATTCCAAGTTTGTGTTCTATTCGTTACAAGTATGTAGCGACCACTTAAAAGTTCGTGAGGTCCAAGAGAATCTCTTGCCATTGGTGGAACTATATGAGGAGAACCGGTTTTAACACTTAAAGTGCAGCTACCAAGGGGGAACCATCCTTTGGTGTCATCAGATAGATTGCTGTTCTCAATTATATTAAGCCCAAAAATAACATTCTGCAGAATAAAATCAACTATTAGGTGCTTGAAAAACTTATAAAATCAATGTTGCATCCAAAGCTTACTAAAGATTTGTTTAAGTTGACTTATTTGACCTTATCTATTGAGAACAGCTTAAGTTACAAGCGTTGAAATAAGCTGTTTATCTAAGAAAAGCCTACAACAACAGCTAAGTTCTTAAGAAATTCTTGTGCAAAACAAAATTTTCAAGAATAACACTAACAAAAAAAACTAGATTGAGTTGCACATAAAGGTTCGACTATATTTTACGTTGGTTGATGACTGCTTAAAACAATATTTACACCAATTTTACTAATGTGATTTACAGAAAATGTATTGAAAGTCGAACCTTTGCATTTGGTGGTATGGAAGGAGGCGTTTTAGCAGCATGCTTTACAACCAAAGTATTAACAAGAATGTCAGTCCCAGAAGGAGGGCCCTCTAAATAAAGGACCACTTTGGATGGAGAACCATTTAGAAGAAATTTTCCCTGCAGTGTCACCCAATCTGTATCTGTTGCCTGCACACTTTAGAATACACCAGCATTGTTCAAAAACTAATGTAAATGTTAAGGAAGGTTTCAATTATCTCTAATGAGTAAAATTCATGACTGAATCATACTGTATCAAGTGTCTTTTTGTTATGTAATGTTTATCAAAATTTCAAGAATAGTAAACAGGAAAATCACATGGCTCGGGAGTCTATCTAAAATCCACGGCTGAATCAGACGATTGATTGGTAAAAAATGTTTGTCGTTGGCAGTGTGTATGAATTAAATCTAATGATTTTTTTAAAGACTTACTTTGCAACGCCTATATACTGCTCTCGGTAATCTGGTGTTTGAACCCACAAAGTAGCTCGAACATCGGCATTAGTGACATTGTTACCATATATCCGAACCAAAGCAGTGATCTCATAGGCCAGTTTGCGCTGCACACGTCCGGTTATCTCCTGCTGAATTCCATTCCAGGCCTGCGTTCGTTCTGTTGCACATGCAAACAATTTCCCAGACTTCGGAACAATTTTACCATCCGCCATGGAATCATTCAACACAATCTTGCAGCCTCTTCCAGACCAATTATTCAGGCCATCCTCAAATTGAGGATTTATTATGATGTTTTCATCTCCAGTAGAAACACATCCTTCCGTGCTTAAGCTCTTTCGAAATAAGAGAAAAATGCACACAAGTTAGTTTGTTATTTTATTACTATCAATTTAAGTGTAAAACCATCATAGGCTAATAACCAATGCACAAGAATGTAGAATTGCATAAAGAAATAACAGTATTTGAAACGCATAATTTCATGCATGATATACATTGTAATTTGGATTGGAGCAATTGATCTGTACTGATCTTATAAGCAAGTCAACTCCAGGAGCAGGTCCTTCCAAATAAAATATAACCCGGTCGGGCTTAGTAGACAGTGAAAATGTTCCTTCCAACTTTTCCCAGCTACCTTTTATAACAGAAGTACTGTAGAAAATAATGGTAAACATGTAAGTGAATTTTCGTCAATTTCTAAACAACATGTAGTTGAAGAAAACTACAACTTCTTTTATACCTTCCAATGAACAAATATTGTGTAGCTGAACCATGATATTCTAGTTTCAGTGTAGCTTTTACATCAGCAGATTCCTGAGAAAGGCCGGAGCCAGACACTCCAACAAAAGCCAAAACCGTGTAAGTGGAACCAACCGAAATTCTGTCTGTGACATTTTGCTCAAGACCTTGCCAGCATTCATTCCGGTCAGTGATAACAGCATAGTTACGATCCGACTCTATCGAAATTCCAGCATGATCGCCTACTTTAGCTGAAATTACATAGCCATTGCAAGAATTGGGATGCCAAGAGTTGAGGCCATCAGAGAAGTCATGATTCAGCAAAATATTAACAGCATTGCTCCCACTTGGATTAGAAATGTTTCCTGCCATTATCTGTCCAACAAAACAAAATCACAAAATAATACGAAACTTTTTGCCTGAAATGACATAGCTTGTACATAGATTGTATCGTCCTAAAGGCGATTTATGAAGCACTGATACAAACATGAACACTGCCATTATTAAATGTAATCGCACATGTCAGACACTTGTCATAGACGCTCTCAATTTAAAATGTCACTGCTATAAAATATGTTATAATGTATTTAACCTTATATAGTTCAAATACATTTGTTATTTAATGTATTTTAAAAGTGAACTTTTTCTTATAATAACAATCAGAGAAAGTATTTAGCAAACATCTTAATTTATAAATAATGTTCAATCTTACTAACAAGCATTTCAACAAACAAGTTAGCTACAACAATAAAAGAAAGAAAAACTAGCAGAGGAGGGTAAATAAGTAATAAACCTGAGACTGAGATTTCTTAAGCTTCGAGTGAGAGTGAAATTTTGAGACACCCCTTGTGAAGAACCTCTTCATTAATCATATATATACACCACCACTAACCTAGCAAATTTGCGAGTAAAGTCTAAGGAAAATTGAAGGACCAACCAGAAAATTTCCTGCGATTTCATAATCCAAATTTGGAATGAACTTAATTTTATAATCGATTATCATTCAAAACTTTGGGATCATTGATTTTTCTTGTGTATTTTTTAGGGTTTTGTTTCTGTGCTTTTTGCTTTACCTTGCAGATTAGTGATGCTTGAATTGGAATGGAAGGTTGAGGAATGATTCTTTTGATTCCTTAATTTAATGAATTAATTAACTTCAAAATGGGATTAATTTTGAGACTTAGAGTGCAAGATTTTGAAACGTTAGGTGCAAATGACTTTTCAATCTGTGCGTAATATATCATAATGGGATTTGAAAAATATACACTAGACTTTTAATTTCCTAAGTGTTGGAATTGAATTTCAGACATGGAGCTATGAGAATGCAACTAGTGCAAGAAACAAACTCTCGAGTACTTTTGCAAATTCAGAAGAAAATAATAATAATAATAATAATAAGTTTTTTTTCTTTCAAAATAATATTAATAAGTTTCGAATTCCATTTACTTTTCCATGTTATAAGTTTATTTTTAGATGCTGTCCAATTTTTTTATGTTAGAAAATCAAAAGTGTTAAAAGATAAATGGTATAAAAGAATGTTCCTTGTTCCACGTTAAAATCTTCCATCTTCAATTCTATCAATGGAAAAAAAATAATAGTTAAGTCCGCACATGCATGTTTCTCTTCTACCCAACTGTACACCAGAACATATATTAGTATAAGCGATCTCTCATCATATGGGTCAGTCAAGAAATTCACATGCGCCACTTTCTTAACAAATACTTTAATATGTCGAAATATATCAAATAGGACATCCCTAACAAAGTCATGTCAGTATTTGACGCTTGGAATCTCCTTATAATGAATCGCGTGTTCTCTAAATGTAACAAAGCATTTCTTGCGACAAACATGACAAATCTCGTTAATAGAAAATAAGGAAATCATAATATGATATCTAAAGATGATATGGTACTCTTCTAGTAGCATGTGTTAGCCAGCGCATATCAATAGGAATAACAAGGAGAAAAACCTGAGCATGTGTTGTTTGCAAACAACTGAAAACTATATTGTGTTCTATGGTCATATCAAACTATTACTTTCATGTTCTGAACACTTTTACTAAAAAGGGCACTTGCCAAAACATATTGTACTTTAGGAGGGGACAATGTCCTTGCTATTAAAATTGATAAGGTCAAAATCTGGAATTGTATCACTAAGACCATCCAAAACTCTGTCAAAATCAGAGTTCATGCCATAACTCTCGTTGTCTCTCAATATATGATCTTGTAACACGCAAGACTGGACTTAGAAGCCACAAAGGTGAATGATGCAACATGTATTGTTGAATATAAACCCAATCCTTCAATTCTAATACATAAATAAACCACCCTCCATTGAAGGTCCTTGAAAAAAGGGCATCCATCAACCATGATGCCTTCAACTACCATTTGTTGCGGTAAGAATCGTGATACCAAGCTATTGATTAACTTGAATCTAAATTCTTAAATTCACAACCGGACTTTAATTTATCCAAAGGAAAGGTCTAAAGAAAGAAAAAACATTTTCGCGATGTAACAACAACGCTAAGAGATTCGGGGATCGGGGGTTGGTTATGCATAGGGTAGGTATTTCACATCCTAAACATCTGTAGTACTCTACAGGAACCTTTTGTTTGTTTGCATGCTAAGTTGGTAAAATGTTTGCTAAGGTTTGGGGTTGGGTAAAAGGTGAAGGATGATAGGTAAAGACCTAAAGATAATTTCTAAATTTGCTTGCAAAGACGTCGCGTCCTCTGCCTACGTATCCTAACTAGGATAGAATCAAAGCAATCATAGTTCACCTCACTAGGGATTAAAGAATACTTGATTATGATCAAGGTTCAAAGGGGAACAAACATTACAATGCTTATGTAGAGTTTAAGAAAACTCTCTAGATCTATGTTAAAACACTCAAGAGGGGAGTAAGTAATCATTACTATGATTCTTACATAGAGTTAACAAACTATATCCTAAGTTCTAATTGAAGGAGCACTCCTAACAAAAGGTAAGTTTTTTAGACTTAAGCAAAGTCTAACAGGTACGTTCTAACTTAACTAAGTGTATAGATGACTTAACAAAGTCAAGAGAGGGTAAAGAACTATCCAATGACACAAGGGTCAAGGGAGAGGCTTTTCCTTTGGAAAGAGAGAGAGAGAGAGAGAGGCAACTTGGATGAAAACTAAAGAGTTCCATCACTTGGGGAAATAAACTTAACAAAGCAATAATCATTCACACATGATGAATATAAGAGACATGGTTACAACCAAGAATAAACAAGCATATTACAATAAGCAAGTACTTCAAATAGGATGAATGGTTACAACCAAGCATGGTATCACAATATCAATGATTTCAATCAAGATAGATGGTCACAACCAAAACATGCAAGCATATCACAATAGGCATGCAAAGATGAGTTCTTACAAGACTGAAGAAAAGGTAAAGTCCTAAGCATATCTTGACAAATATGAAGACATATCTTAACAGAGATGAAAACATATCTTAACAAAGATTGAGACATATCTTAACAAAGCTTGAAAGCATATCTTAACAAAGATTGAAAGCATATCTTAACAAAGATTAAAAAAGATGAAGGTAACAACCATGTAAACAAATCACAATTTGAAAGTAAACATGTCATAAACTCAAGGTGTATCAAGTGTAACAACAATATGTATTGGCGACGATCAAATATAAGCAAGCATGTCATAACAGTTTAAACTCAAATTTAGGAGGAAAATAATATGAGATCATGGTGACAACCAAGGGAGAACAAACCCTAACATGTTAACTAACATATGTGAAATAATCACAAGCAAATTCTCACAAGACAATTCAAGCGTGGTTTAAAGGAATTTGACAATATGCGAGATAACGATCTTAACAAAGAACCAAAATTTCACATGGACAAAAGGTATCATAATTATGAACAATAGGAATATTTTTGCATCACATGAAATTAGACATTAAATTAAACATGTAGCAAAAAGAATGAGTTAAAAAAGACGAAAGATGAACAAGTTATGAATTTTGAAGTATCATGCAATTAACAAATAAAATATGTAAGAATAAAAAGAAAAGGGCAAGGGTGGGAGTTGAACCCATGCCCTTCAATTCACAAACACCACACTCAACCACTAAGGCACACACGTGCGCGCTGGTAAGGAGAGGACAAGATGAACAAAATAAATTCAACATAATTGAAAAATAAAATGCCCAAAAGGGGTTGATCCCAAGGATCGAACCCATGGCTGGAAAGTGAAAGGTAAGAATGCACGCAAGTTGATTACCACTGGGGTGGATGTACATCCAAGTACAAAGCCACCCCCATAAATAAATAAGGTAAGTATGGTGGATATCTGGGCAAAATGAAGCAAGCCAAACAAGCCAAAACGTGAAGGATTCAAACACTGTCAATTCTTAACCATTTTTCACGAAACCTTAGCCAAACTTAACTGTTTTTTAACAAGGATTAAGATGGTGCCAACACAATTTTAAAATAATTCCTTGAAATTGAAACACGATAGAAGATGCAAGATGATAACATGAGTTGCATTTTGAAAACCACACATCAAATCTGAGTTCAAATCCATCAAAGGATATTGCACACAAGTCATATATGTCATAACAAAGGTGTTGCACCCTTAAGGCTCAAGCAAAGATCAACAAAAATGGAATTGGCACATGAATTACAAATAATGACATGAAAGTAAGGGCAAGCTGTCAGGGCAGCACATTGGTAGATGAAAATTTTCAGTTTGTACACATGTCTATGAGTCCTAATCATGTTAATGATGAAAACAAATCAATCCAAATGCTCAACCAGAAACAAGAGGATAGCATGGCAAGATTACACACCAAAGCACAACTGTTATGCCAAGTAAAGTTGGAAATGAAAGATGCCAATTTGAAAATCAAATCAAGGAAGGAGCATAATCTGTTTGAATCAGCCCCACACACAATCTTCAATCATAATATAAAGTGTGTCTATGCTTTAAAATTAGCTTCAAACATCATAGAAATGAAATTCATCTATCAACTGCTCACTTAACACATAAAAATGCAATATTTGAAACCAAACAAGATTGGAACAACTTTGAGATTCAAGGGATACCACATACAACTCTCAAATATGATCATAAATGAGCCTAGCACTTAAGATTATCATGAAATGCACATAACAAGAAAATGGATATCAAGTTGCAATTTGTACCAAACATGGTAGTAAGCTGTCATGACAAAGAAATAAGGCATACATAAAGCTACTGATTCATGCACATACAGGTCCTAAATACTATTAGAAGTCTAATGTTTCATGGACTGACCTAAAACAAATCAAACAAAAAGAAGTGAAGTGTGTGGTAGTGGCTTTCAAAAACAGTTTGGCAGCAATAAGGTACAAGTTGGTCTAACTATAATCAAGTGGTCTCATGTTGACAAACACAACACACACATATCATAAATGTAGAAAAGAATGAGTTACAACTCAGAAAATAAACATTTGGCAATTGGAATGAAACTTGGTATAGTCATGGTATGTTTTGGATTTGAAAAAGAAAGCAATTTGAGGGTGAAATGAAAAAGCAGGTAAACATAGATCAATCCAATCATCTCCACACATCAAAATCAAGCATATAGATGAGTTTCAACTCAAAAATTAGGCATATGACAGTTGGATCAGAAAAAAGGCATGTTGTGGTAGGAAGTGTGAAAAACTGTCTTGGCATAAACTTAGCACAATAGGGCATTTTGGAAAGCAAAGAGTTTTGTGATGAAACCAAAGTTATGCACATACCATAATGATGCTAACAGATGAGAACATGCTTAAGAAATAGATTGAAACAGTACCAAACAGAATATCACATTTTGAAACTCATGACATATAAAG